GAGCAAGCGAAGTCATCACAGTCGACTCAGTTCTTAGCCAACCAACATAGGATAACTTCTGGAATTCTTCGCTTTGTAAGCTTCTTCTCTCCTACTCAGAACAATGTAGTTCAGATGGTTATCGAGATAGTTGGATTGAGCATCCCATTCATAGTTATCAGTGCATGTTTCCTTCTCAGTGTTGGGAATACAGGTAAAGCTTCAACTAGTCACCAACATACAAATTCGTACATCTCAGTCGTCTCTCAATTAGCCTTCATGGCCATGTCCATCTATCCCATATTTGGTCCATACTATGTCCTCATGTCCAACACAGATTACAGGAACAAAGTGAAAGGAATACTTAACAAAGGTTGTATCTTGAAGCTTACTCTGTCTATGTGTACTCCTCGTTATAACTAGATCAATCTGATGCGAATGATCTTTTAGCACAGGAAGTAGGATCTCGTCCACTGACCACAGAATGCGTGTTGTCAGCCTTCTGCATACAAGTGATGTAACCTTTCCCTTAGTACATGCAGTTCCATTGGAAAATTAGAAATGAGATGTTCTTCATACGTTTTAGCTTAGATTTTCGATTTCCCCTCTTCTCCATCAATTGTGCAACAGTTCACTCATCTATGATTTTTGCATGTCTCACAGCAACCCATTGTTACTTCGTTTACTGTTATCACACGATTGTACCGATAGGATGTAGCAGTACGCTGCAACACTCGAAAGTTGTGAACAAATACAAATTATTATGGTTTGTCCGTTCATACATGAACGGACGAACCATTCTCGACAGCTCCCCCTCGCTCCACTAACGAGTAGACTGATTTGACGTACCTCGGATGTCTCTCTATGTTGTAATCATGCACTGTTTATCCCTTTTTGGATTCTTCATCATCTTCTTCTCGTTCTCCCTTCTCATCTTCGTTCCAACCAAGCTGAACAACTTCACCCGCTTTGTGATTCATGGACATGACTTCACGTGAGTTCTCAGTTTCAATCTTTCATCATTGTCTTTGAAGATCTGCCTTAACGCAACTCTTTATTACTTTGGGGACAACACCGACTTTTCTTTTTCCATGTGCATCTGGTTACGTAAGTGGGTTCCTCTCTGATTTCGGATTTGAACCTTTAGATCAGTTTAATGTTCAAATAGTGTTGATGACTGGTACTCACCTGAGACGAGTACGTACATATGACGTTCATCCATTCCAGTCAGTAAATCCTTCACTCTCCTTCTTACCATCAATCGAACGTTCGCAATCAATACATGGATGAAGAAGCATAAAAACCCAATTCTGATCATATTCTATGCCCAGCTGATTGGCCAAGTCCTGTTTCTGTTGATCACTGGTTTCAACACAGAAGACGGCGGAGAAGAAGCTCGGCAGGCTTGTCTCAAGGTTTGAACCTTTCCCTCTTCTTGAAACAGCCTTTCCAGATAATCACCTATGAGTATCCTAAGGTGATGTATACTTTTCGAGGATATGATCTATCGCTCCAAGATGAGAACGATCTCTTGACCTCTATAATCATGGAAGTGACTTCTGCTCTTCACATCATTATTGCATTCGTCTGTGTTTCCATTCTCATTCGGAGCATCAGAGAGCAAGCAAAGTCATCACAGTCGACTCAGTTTTTAGCCAACCAACGTAGAATCACTTCTGGGATCCTTTACTTCGTAAGCTTCTTCTCTCCTACTCAGAACGATGTAGTTCAGATGATTCTCGAGATAGTTGGATTGGGCATTCCATTCATAATTACTGATGCATGTTTTCTTCTGAATGTGGGAAACACAAGTAAAGCTTTCCTTAGACACCGACTTACAAATTCGTACATCTCAGTCATCTCTGATTGTTGCTACATCGCTATGTGTGTCTATCCTATATTTGGTCCATACTATGTCCTCATGTCCAACACAGATTACAGAAACAAAGTGATTGGGATACTTAGAAAGGGTTGGTTCTTGAAGCTTACTCTGTTGAAGCGTACTTCTCGTTATGACTAGATCAAGCTGACATGACACATTTTTCAGCGCAAGAAGTAGGAAGTCGTATGTTGAGCGTTTGAGCATCTAGTCAATAGAATGGACTGCAATCGGTTGCGTAACACAGTTCTACCTGACGGGCAAAATGGATCTTTTCACTACAATTTGCTATGATTTATGATTCCGATAACTCTGCAGAGAGAGTACAACTCCACGAGCAAAAGTTGAGGCTCTAACAATGGTCATAGATTCGGGTTAGATCACAACACCTTCCCTACTCACAGATCACAGATAAGAACATTTGGAAATTTCTGTCAAAATTCCTTTTCAAACCAAGAA